GGTCATAGGCGCGAATACAGAGCTCTTGCCTTTATCGATACAATAAATTGGCATGCTGGTTATCGGCCGGGGGGAGAGGAGGGCTCGGGTTGGTTGGAAAGGGACGTGGTGTATTAATACCCCACGTACGTTAAGGGAGAAGTCGCGGAAAGACTCTGTAAAGATCGATATTATTGAGTAGAACACACATTACTTTGATGCATCCGTGTCTGCACATCTTTATACACCGACATCTGCAAACAGAGGAGGTGCAGTCAGCGGTCCCAAAAAAGTTTTTGTCGTATCAGCGTGGTAAGTGTCAATCGAGTAACAGTAACTCAATTCATTTACTTGTGATTAACATCTCAAGGTTTCTGTTAGTAACAACTCCATTTGTTACTGTTCATTATAGTTTAAAATACTAAAAAATTTCAAAATTTTCGAATATACCTTCGATCAAAAGAGATGGAACACTGACGGCCGATAAGTACCCCATCCCCTCTGATAAATCCGTAACATGCTGCTGCCCGGACACATGTCCAACACATCACACGCCACCCCCTCCCATCGGGCGCCGTATAAATTGGCTATTCTTGTTAAAGCGGTGTACGCGCGTTTAACGAAAGGTCAATGTTTTAACACGTAAATGCGAGATAGCAGCATGGCGTACACCACCAACAGTTCTGTAAAAGCCATGTTCAACCACCCGAACGGTTCACCGATGCTGGCCATAAAACTCGTTAGACCATCAACAAAAAGGCTTTTACAAAGTACATAGACGGGTATGTAGCGATTTTGCGTCTGGAAATACACAGCGGGCTAAAAAGCATGGAACAGTCCATCTTTTGTTCAGAAGTTGTTAAAGTGCGACCAGGAATTTAGGCTATTTTCACTGTATCTACTGTAGATACAAGATAACGAGATATAGAAGAGTAAAAAGTCATTCTTATTGTAGGATCGACTTGGTTATAAACGAGAAAAATAGGATACATTTCAAGGCAGGAATATTTTAGATCTACAGGGTCTTTCTGAAATAAGTACGTTCTTCTTTGAAAACGGTGATAGAGAGCAGGAAAATGAGCAACTTTTATTAAGCAACTGATAGTCTAAATGCTTCTGTTTTCGAGAAAATTAACCATAAGTGTTAAGTCGACCCTGTGCATCTTGTGCACGTGCACGGCCAGACTGCTTCGAACTCGCTAAATACGTGAAGCGCTTCTTTATTTGGCTGATGTTCCACGTAACTTCTATAATCAAACAAATCCGATGATAAGTCACTAGGTCAGTATGTCTTGTATGTTTTAGACCAATCGTTTTTTAATAAAAGTTGTTTAGTTTCGTGTCCTCTATCAGCCTTTTCAAGGAAGGCACTTATTTCAGAAACACCCCGTATATCGATTTTTTCTAAATGTCACTTTGACGGCTAGTAGGTACTATCGTGTAACTGAACCAAAAAATGTTTTAAGGCTACCAATTTTTCAAGACTATTTTTAAAACTACATCGATTTTAACATTATTCGAGTGACCGATACCGACGCATTGTTAAACATTTCAATCAATTACTAGTAGGCTATTATAACGGATTCTAAGAAAACAATATTGTAAATAAACTGGTACAGATGAATATAGCAGTGGCGGCTCGTCGTGTGAAGAAACTGAGGCCGGGTCTCACTGTAACATTTAGCTCTTACACTGCATATTTTAATACCTACTATTCTACTATTAACCTAAATAAACAGTTAGGTAAACTAATTTCCAATTACCTATTACATTTATCAAAAATCAAAATTACAGTATAAAATAATTGTTTGAATATTAAATATCTCGCCGCTCGCCGTTTCGATCGGCGCAGCATTGGATACTGTTACTCCCCACTAGTCCCCAATAGAGTGAGGCCAGAAATTCTTTGATTGTAGCGGTTAAAATAACGTGGTTTAGGAGGAAACTGAGGCCGGCTCAAAGCTCAAAGCTATAGTTTCAGTTCGCGGTTAATGTATGCGTCGCATAGTACGCGGGTACTGTCTGATGTCAGTGTGAGAGATAGTACAAAGGTTTTAAGGGTAATGACAAGGCAGGTATTAATTTAAGTAAATAAAAAACAACTTTATAACATAACCTACTATATAGATGAAGACACCGATGTTGATCTTAAAAGTTTTCAATAACACATCAAGTTAAAAATATTTGAAGGTGCTATATACTAGTTTCAAATGTCAAACTATTGGACATACTTTTTACAGTTCTGTTAACTATAGTCTGTTTAGAAATGAAAGAGAGTAATAAAAGCTCATTAGGTATGCAAATCGTAAATAAAAGTAGTACTGGTGCTTATATTCAATATTTTTATATTACGTTTTATCGGTATAGATGAGGTGTACTTTTAACAAAACTTTGTGCGATCGGACTGTACTAAATTGTAGCAGGTAGCTAAAATTTAATCCCCGACAATCCGTCTTTGTCTATGCCGCTTCAATTTCTCGGTCCATTTCTCTTATAAGTAAACAATATAAAAACAGCATTTCAAAACATGAGGCTACTTTAAGCATCATAACCGGGTTAAGAGGGTTTTTAGTAATTCAAATAAAATTATTCAATATTATTATCAAAATATTTATTTAAATTTAATGAATAGACTTTTATTCCACACAAAAATATATGTATTTTGAAAATTCAAATTATGGTGAGTAAATGTAGTGTTGTATAAATGTACAATAAAGAAAATAAAAAAGTAGGTATATTAAAATTCATCCTCTGAATATTCTGATGAATTATCTTCGTCTCCTAGATTGATAACGATAGGTTCCACAGTAACGTCAATTAAATTATCGAGTTCCCACATTTTCTCCTCTTCTTTTTGTACATGATGTATACATCTTTGCCAGTTATCTGCAGTTACTCGTTCCAAGGAATTTTTTAACAAAATTTTCACGTCACTTAATTTAAACGTCGTATTATTTCGCGCTACATCTCCTTTTACCTGCGCCCAGACTAATTCGATTGGGTTAAGTTCACAGTGATAAGGTGGTAACCGTAGTACCGTTATTTGGCGATTTGTTGCCATTTCATCGATAACATATTTTTTCTGATCTTTATTAAGATTGACAAGTGTCAAAAGTTCCTTTTTCACCATATTTGTTTCAAAAGAAATGTTTTTTCCGGATAACCATTGAATTATATCGGCTTTCCTCCAAGCAGTCGTAGGCGTCCGCTCGGTCTGCCGTGAATGGTAACTGGCATTATCCATGACAATTACAGACCCCGGAGGAATAAGATCCAACATCTGTGTAAAATACTCTTCGAAAACATCTGCGTTCATGTCTTCGTGATAGTCACCTGTATTTTTAGATTCAAATAAAAGTAAACCGCCATCTACAAAACCACTGGCACTACCTATATGTGTCACTATTAATCTTCGCCCTTTACCTGAAGGTGCCTTGAACCCTGTTGAAAGTCCATCCAAAAATGCTTGTCGAAAACTTTTTACATTTTTATCTTGCCATACTTTTGTTACAGTATATCCCTCGTTGACCCAAGTTTCGTCTAGATAATAAATATTCCTCCCTTCGTCACGGAATTTTCTAATTGATCTTAAGTAGGATCTTCGCCAACAAATAATTTCATCTTTATCGATAAGAACTGACTTCCTGTTCTGCTTTTCCCAGCAAAAATTCAACTCTCGTAAGACGGCCCATAATTTGCTTCTACTGATTTTTGGCAAATCGTTGTCCTCTGAAAGTTCACTTAAAATTTTGTTTAGCGTTGGTATTTCTTTTTTAAAATAAAATGAGTGTACTTTTCTGCGAATGACATTTTTGAAGAAATCATCTATAACGACTTTTGACCTCCCTGTAGATGATTTTGGGGGATTTACAGTATCTTGTTCATTTTTTGTTTCCTTTAAAAGTCTGTAGATAGTCGATTTTCCAATCCCTGTCATTTTTGTTAGCATTAGTGTTCCCCGATAATTACCTGAAACGAAATATTAGCACGCCCATGGCCGGTTCTTATCTCGGGGTTTTATTACTCTCTTTCATTTCCAAATAGACTATAGTGCAATAATATTCAACAAATATTATAATAGTTGTTCCAAAATTCACGCAAAATTTGAATTTAGCGCCATTTGTGCGGTAAAGTGTTGCCAACGAAAAAAAAAGAGGTATTACAAAAAGAAATACATTTAATACATTAAATTGCACTGGATCAATTAGTGATCTTAAATACTTTGGGCGTCCTTCAACAAGTCGTTCAACATAAAAATCGAAGCAGTTCGTGAGAGTATTGCTGAGAGTCCAGGGACATCCATTCGGCACCGTAGTCAAGGATTGGACATATCGAGAAGCTCTCTACAGCGTATTCTCACGAAAAGATTTACACCTTCATGCTTACAAAGTCCAGTTAACTAAAGAACTGAAGCCTACTGAGCACACTGAGCAAAGAGAGTAAGAACTACAAGTAAGAAAGGATTATGGAACAGATAACTGGATGCTGATTTTTCGAATAAAATTATCTTCAACGATGAGGCTCAGATTCATCTCGATGGCCTTGTTAATCGACAAAATAGTCGCTTTTGGGGTTTTTGGAGTTCAAAAAATCTAAGAGTGATTGTTGAGGAACAAATGCATCCACACATGTCACTGTTTGCTGCGGATTTTGGGTTGAAGGCATTCTCAGACTATTTTTTCTTCGAAAATGTGGCTGGTCAAGTAATAACAGTTAATGGTGCTCGCTATAGCGAAAAGATAATCGAGTTTTTTTGTGCCTACATTGCAAGATATGGACATAGTCGACGTGTAGTTTCAACAAGACAGTATCACATGCCATATAGCCCGAGAAACAATTCAATTATTGCATGAGTCATTCAATCCAAAAAGAAATTTAAGTATAACAGAAAATCACGTCTTCATCCTAATGATCGTAAATATTATGGAAGACACAACCGCAATTCAAGAGCAATTGGTATAACTATTGTACTTTTGTTGATTTTCCATTAAAAATAATTAAAAAAAAATCTTATTACTCACATTTAGTTGCATGATGATCTTGTTGTACGCCCAGAGCCACCTCTGATGCGCCGTCACCTGCGGCCTCTCCTCCTTCCCCTCCTCCTCCTCCTCCTCCTCCTCCTCCTCGAAGGACACGCTCTTCTTCTCCTGCTGGTCGTCGTCCAGGATCGCCTGCTCCTCGGGAATGTCTTTGTGGTGGTCAGGCGACGACGGCGAGTGCCTGACCGACGCGCGACGCGGCAGCACGGCGTCCACGGACGTCTTTCGCGAAGACGGCAAGAACTGGTCGTCGTGGTAGACCTCGCCCGATGTGCGTCTGGGGAAGAGGTCGGCGCCAGAGGACCTCCTGGACGGCGCCGACCGCTGCAGGGACGGGTGGTACGGGTCGACGACCGTTATCTGGGAGGAGCCCCTGCGGAGGTTGTGGTCGTCGTCGTAGCTCTCCACGTGTATCACAGATGAGGGGGAGTCGTGGGTTATTGCTTTGTTGGTGTAGTCGGTGTTCACCCCTGCAAAAATCGTGAGGGTTATAAAAACTTGTATTGCTAGAAAAAATTCTGTTCCTGCACTAGTTGAGGACTGACTTTAAACTATCAAAATTATTTGACCAATTGATTCGAGAACTTAAATGACCGAATATATCTGATAGTTTGAAAACAGTTTGGACTGCTCTAGAAACAAACCTAATATTTCGTTTTATTTCTTATCCTGCTGAAAAGTTTGTTACAGGACTTTAAATCTTAAATTGTTTCTTCAATCTGTCATGTAATGGATTGAAGCATAAATATTCTCCACCAGGATGAATATACTGTTTTTTTATTCTATTTTTTCTCGAATCACAGTTTGTCCCAAAAGCTTTGGGAATATATCCGCCATTAAAGATAGAAATAATATCACCAAAAGAGTTATGGGTCATTACATATCAAGTGGACCAGTTTTGAAGATCGTCTGACCAGTTTTGAAGATCAAAAGTTGATATGGATGTACATATATGCTCTATAGAATCTTCTATGAAGTATTAGTTATCGAACTACAAAATCGATATATTTTATTTTATTTACTTAAAAACTGGAAAACAATCGTCTTGAAATTTATTAAATGTTTCACAATATTGGTTGTTTACATTTTTTCCATAGGACAAGTCTTCCGCGTCCACACGTGGTATGCACCAGCTGTGTAGCGTTAGGTCAAGCGCTGTTGTCACGTTGTGATGAAACTCCCCAATATTAATACTCGCGGTTTTTTGAACTGTTAATAATACGCCCTCATGCCGAAGTAATGGCAGTCAAACTTTTAGAAGATCTGTATTGTGCGAAATTTGCATCAAGATACGCACCACAAGAAGAAGAAAATAAGCAACTACATTTATAAATATAGATGTGTTTTGTTTTGCAAGCGAGTTACTGAATAATGTTTGTAAAACCATACACTACGGGTTAGATATGTTAATGATTATCCAATTAATATAACCTAAAATTTTGTGAATATTTTGTAAGAAAGTTTACATGTACCTACATAAATTCACTGGACTTTCAACTCAAATACCTTCATCTTATTTTCTGATTTTTAAAATATTTAAATTGTTACTACAGCATTTACATGCGTTATTGATGTTAACATTTTGTTAATTTTTGCAGAACAATGTAGTCTAAATCTGTACAGATCTCTCCACTCTTTAGCACAGAACAAAACTTCAGATTATTGACTTTTAAGACAATTGTGGCGACATCTACCGAACGAAATCAGTTATACGTGAAGCTGAAGGTTTCTACTCAGTTTGGTACGTTAATCGATACCTAACCCACGTGATTTCTAGCGATGTTAGGGTGAATACGATAACACAAAAGACGATCATAGCATCCCAAATTATTTTCATGTATAGGGATTGTTAGCTTAATTAAAACTATATCACCACCCTTGCAATTTAGAAGAGGTTGTTTTTTTTTTCGTTGTAATTAATGAACTCGAAAGGTAGGCAAGTCCGCTGACGACGGACTTGACCTTTCTCTAGTGACTTAAGTACAACTTTGGGACTTTTATTAATTTTTGAAAGAAAATTAGATAGAAAATGCTCAAGACACTAGGTTGTTTTTGAATTAATGCAACATACATTGAAAACTTCTATGAAGTTTCTAAAATCATAGTACAATAACACGAAATACGGTTCCTCTCTCTTTTTTTTTATAATTTTCCACACAAAAATTATAATTTATAACTGATTTCGTTAATGTTCCTCGATTTTTAATTACGTGATATTTCCCAATTTAAATAACAAACCAATTAGACGCGTTCAAGGAATACAAAAAATGCTAGGTAAAATATAAATTGGTACGTCTACACATAAAGCTGAAAATTTTTTTAAGTGGGCAAAGAGATGTCGCATTATTATACGTATTACAACGTAAAATGAGCAAACAAGTACTCGTTATAACAAGTTTACGAATAAATTGGAAGGTAGTTATAAGATTCGATACAATTAAGTAGGTTGGGTCGTCGCTTTTTTTTTAATTTGGGTCTTTGCAAATACCTTTGAAAAGAAGATGTAAAATGGGTACAAAATATAAATTTTGTTTCTTCCATCTCGCTAATAATGATATATTTTTTCAGCCTTCAACCTAGTTATATACAGTATGACGTCAACTGTAATAAAAACTGTGCTATAACTTAAAAAAGAAAAGAATCTTCCATTTTCTCGTTAAAATTTAACTATTACATCGCCGTTACCAGCGAGCTACTTGTTAGCAGTCATTTGGCATCATTTCTACTTAATTTTTTTCTCGTCCTGTTATAAAAAAAATTGCTGGAAAATATATTCGCAATATGTTCGCAAAATAAATAAAGAGATGAAATGAAGTTTACATTTAGTCATTTTCATGTAGGTAACTAGTGAAGTCAAACGTATTTTAAATAAAGAGAACATTCGTAATTTAAAATAAATCGATCGATATTATTTCCCTTCTACAGTTAATTTCTGTTACAATTTAATCATATGATTCATCTGACGAAGATCCTTGGATTTAAGACAAATAAATCATATTGTTACTAAACCAACTTTTCATTTGTTCATGTTAATTCTGAAAAGTAAATGCTACAAATGCCGGTTGCTTTTTAAATGGGCGATCCCCTGGTGCTGCCATCTGACAACCGACGTCCCTATCGTGAAGTTCGTCTTATTGTCGGTATACAGGGTCGGAAAGTACCCATGGTTCATCGGTCGTTACGTAAGAGCGATAAAGAAAGTCATAGAAATCCGTGCGATAGAGAAAGATGGCTATAATGTAGGCGTCTAATAGTCACCACCCATGTCGCCCTTCCACAAATAAGATCCACTTCTTATACGTCCAATAGTTAATTAACAATTAACGTTATAAAAAAAATGTATCTTGGGAACAAAGAGGCGTAGGTCATTTCTCTCTTTTTTTTAAATTACCGTAAAAATAAGCGCTATTTACTGCAAAAAGGGCGAATTCCCGAGCGGCTTTTGCCTGATCCTAGGACAATTTGTTTATAACGCTGTTTTGCAGGTCCTACTTTGTTAGTTGTAAAGGGCAACTTATTTTCAACTTTTTGAAATGTCTCTTTTCTTTTTTGGTGCGTTTCTTTGGATCAATTAGAACCTGTATCTACGATATTAACTTCTAAAATTCTTTACCATAAATTTCATCAATATCTATAGCTTTTTGAAATGATTTTCGAAAACTGATTTTTCCGTGTTCGACGTTTATTTTGCAGTTAAGAGGTTTCTATAGCAAATAGGCAACCAGCAATACATTTTTATAGATTTTATTACACAGTTTGTCTAAATATGAATCAATGCACAAATAACAGACTTTCCCGATTTTAAAGCAAGTTTTCTATAAAATGGACTTAGATTGAAACTCAAATAACTTTTTGGTGTAAAGAAATTTGTAATTTACGATGCCGCTTGTCAAAATTACAAATTTCCTTACAAGAAAAAGTTATTTGAGTTTCAAACTAATTCCATTTGATAGAAAATCAGTGTTAGAATGGAGGAAAGTCTGTTATTTGTGCATTGATTTATATTTCGACAAACTGTGTAATAAAATAAACATAATTTGAAGAATTTTATAAACCGTGACAGCGCGCGTGAAATAAGTTAACTCTTTGAACCGTACATTTTATTTCTGGATGGAACTTATTTTAATGGGGCATCTGAGTATTTTCAGGGTCGCTGATTACGAATCAGAAGTCAGAATTGTAAAATTCAAAAAGACCGATCCAATATGGCGGACCAATAATTCAAAAAAAGTTTTTAATTTTCATGAAAATCACTACCCGGAGGTTTTTCGCGTCGCTGATTACGAATCAGAAGTCAAAATTGTAAAATTCAAAATGGCTGATCCAATATGGCGGACCAACACTTCATAAAAAATTTTAGTTTTTATGAAAATCAGTACTCGGAGGTTTTTCGGGTCGCTGATTACGAATAAAAAAATCCCTCAGGACGCTATTATAAGAAATATTTCAACTACTTATTTGGATTTACAGCAGAAAAAACCGATTTTTCTATTTTTTTTTTCAATAATTTATAGTAATATCTATTAATTATAATAAAAAACAACGCTGCGAAAAAAATCTGAAAAATACTTTGTATCATTAATATTACTGATATTTGAATTCGAAAAAGGTAATAACGATATACGGAGATTAACCTTATTTGAGTATTGTGATTTCTTGCGAAACCATTTTTATTTTTTTTTTCGGTTTTGTACAAATTTTCCAGTTTCCCAGTTCCCCGCAACTGCATCTTCTAATAAAAAATTTAATGTGTCAGGATCTTAACTATAATGTCTACTTTGAACTCATTCAGCGATATTTTGCAAATACTGTAATTTTCCATATGAAAACGCAATTAAATTCAAAATCTCATTTTGTAACTTTATAGTCATAGTATTGGATCTGCCATTTTGGATTATTGAATTTTGAGTACGGATTCGAAATTAGCGTCCCAAAAAAACCTATCAGTACCAAATTTCAGCAAAATCGGAGCATCATTAGTATTTTTGTCAGCCATATTGAATCCGTCATTCTGATTTTCTAAATTCTGAGTACGGATTCGAAATCAGCGACACCGAAAACCTATTAATACCAAATTTCAGGACAATAAGAGCATCTTCAGAATTTTCGTAAGCCATATTTGATCCGCCATTTTGAATTTCTTAACTTTGAGCACGGATTCGAAATCAGCGACCCCGAAAACCTATGAATACCAAATTTCAGGACAATCCGAGCATCTTCAGCATTTTCGTACGCCGTATTGGATACGCCATTTTGAATTTCTTAATTTTGAGTACGGAATCGAAATCGGCGACTTCAAAAACCTGGAGTACCACATTTCATAGCAATCGAAGCACTTTTAGTATTTTGGCCACTTTTTCAGGTTCCTGTCCCATAGTGCATCGGCTCGAACAAGAGACTTTTTGAGAACCGAAAAAGTCGAATCGATGCGCCGTACAGCCCTGATTTGGCATCCAATGACTTTTTTTTAATTCCCGTGCATCAAAAATATATTACGAAGTCGGCGTTTTTCGAAGCCCGAAAAAGCGATTGGATGCGTCCAAAATGCATGTTTTAGAGGTACCTCAATCGAAATGAAAAAAGTGTTTCGAAAATTGGTTAAAGCGCAAGAAAAAGTGAATTAATGTGCATGGAGAATATTTTAGAAAACAATAAAGCCATATACGACGATAATTCCTTTTTATGTCAACTATTTCCGAAATATAAAAGGCAATCGGATGTGCGCTGAGGAAGTTACGTTAAATAACCGAAACACTGACTCTGTACCTGATTCATTTTTACCGAAAATGTTGTGTCTCATTCAGTTTCCAAAATACCTAAAGTTGGACATGCAGCCGAAAATTCAGAAAGAGATATTTCCCTTTACACATCCTACCTACCGTTAGTTATGGTACCATCGGTCTCCTCCTCCACGTAACTCTCCACAGACTCCTGCGTCTCCAAATAGTTCGACTCGTGGTCGCCGTACTCGCTATACGGATCCACGAAATTACTCCTCTCATCCACCAACCTATTCTGCGCCTGCTGCTGATAAAACGACCCATCCACCGAGTCCTGCTGCTTCAGCATCCCCCTGTTCTGGCTACTGGTCCTCAAGCTGGTGTTGTTGTGCACCTGTGCCACGGTGACGCTGGGCAGGACGCTGTTGGGTATCGCTTTGTTCTGTTGCTGGTCCCCCAGGTACTGCATCGCGTTGGAAGCGGTCTTCTGGAGGTTGTCCACTAGAGCCACCATAGGCGCGGTGTTGGTCAGCACGATGTCTCCCGCGGTCGAGTACTCCGTGTACGGCGTGGACTTGAGCTGGTGCAAGGAGCTGCTCATCGAAGACACCGCCGTTTCGAAGGAGTCCTTGAGCTCGTCGTCGCGGGACTCGAGGCTGTCCGTGTTCTGCTGGAGCAATGGACTGGATTCCCGTTTGCCCAGGGGCTTCTTGCGGCGCGACGGGAGGGTCTCCTCGTAATCATTGTAGTCGGTGTCTTGGATGCTGAAGTAGTAGTCGTCCACGTAAGGCTCGTTCTTGCTGTGCACGTCTTGGTACGTGTCGGTTTTGGATTGCAAGTAGTTAGCGTTGGTAAGGGTCCTGTTATCACTCAGGTTGGTCATTGGAGTTGCGTCTAGATCGTCCTCCTGTGCTTGCAAGTTGTCTATACTCTGATATGCATAGTTGTAGTCTTCATTGTAATTTTCCCTCGCGCTGATAGCCCCTGGCCGCATGTAGTAATTGTCGTAAGAGTCCAGGTTGTCCGCGTAGTCCGCGGAGCTAGTCCTCTTCATCAAGTTGTTCCGCTTAGTCCTGGCGTTGGAGCGATTCAGATTGGGCCGAGGCAGCTGCCTTCCGGGCGTGGGCGGGAGGCTGTTGAAAGGCGTTGAGAGAGTGGTGAGACGCGCTAGCAGCTTAGTGTTCTTCGTGGGGGTGGGCGGGAGGCTGGCCCCCCTGTGCGAGGAGTTCTCGGGGGTGCGGTAGCCCTCGAACAATTCCGGCTCGTTGAGGGAGCTCTGCCGGCTGGCCGACCTCTTGGTTGGAATCCTGGGCATCCGCCTGCGGCCCGTGGGGGTGGGGGTCGGCCTGAATTGGTCCTCGTAGGAGGGGTAGCCTTCGTCGACGGCGGCGGCGGACGATCGCCGCTTGTTCACGTGGTTCTGAATAACTGGGATGGCGGGGAGTTTTTTGCCGACTTTGTGTTGGGCGCCGATGGGGGCCGCGTTGGCGTAGAACCCCCCCGAGTCCCACTGGCGGTCCTCCTCGTCCTGCCCGTAGCGCTCGTCCTGGAACGGGTAGGACAGGGAGTCGAAGTATTCGTCGCAGCTCTTGTTCTGCTTGAAGGACTGGGAACTGTAACATTAACTATATGTTAGAAATCAGTGGTGTAGGTATCGTGGATGGGCCACTGCCACGACCGATTGAATTAAAGATACAATGTCTCCATTGGAGAAAGTTGAAAAGGGGAGAGGAACTTTTTTATTTTTCATTTTATGGGAAAAGGTTGGAAGAAAAGTAATTCCTTCAGATTTTCTTATTCGTTTTGGAAGACATATTTTCAGATAAATCCAGAATTCAAGATCAGTTAACAATGCAGGCAATTTGAGCCTTGAGTATAATTTACTTAAATTTATTGTAATGGTATTTTAAAATATAGGCATATTTCAGTTGAACTATTCAGGGTTTACGGAGAACCACGAAAAATTTACTTAAATTTATTGTAATGGTATTTTAAAATATAGGCATATTTCAGTTGAACTATTCAGGGTGTACGGAGAACCACGAAAAAAAAGCAGCAAAAAACAGAACATTTTTAAACATAGTTTCCTTCTTTACAAGACAACTGTCACACTATTTGACTGCAATGAAATAAACGCAAAGACTGAGCTTAACGCATAAACCAAATTAGTATATTATTTAACGAGCGTATAATGTAGGCTATATTACACGAGCCGTAGGCGAGTGTAATATAGCCATTATACGCGAGGCAAATACTATACTTTATCTACGACTTAGTATCCGGTGTTTCAGTTATAAATTTGTATATTTCATCTCCAGTAAATGCCTTTGATTTCTTGGGNAACTGTCACACTATTTGACTGCAATGAAATAAACGCAAAGACTGAGCTTAACGCATAAACCAAATAAATATTTATTAAACCAAAACATGTATTGTGAAACGGTCTACCTACCTGACCAAGTAGTTGACTTTGGTAACATCTGAATTGGAGTAGTAATTAGTTTCCCCATAATATGGAGAATCATCATACAACGTCGTTTGGCGCTCTAAACTTGGTCTGCGCAATGCTAAAAATAAAAAAAAGATGTAATTAATATACAGGGTGATTCACAACGTATCCAAAAAATTGGGGAATAGATACGTCATGAAAATTGAAGTCAATATAGAAAAAAAATTTTTGTAAAATCATTATAATTTCCGAGAAAAAAAATATTGAAGTTATAGTATTTTCAACCTTTACATCGCTGGACTACTGTAGTCTCCAGGCGATTCCGATTATTGAATTCCGATTTTAGTACATATTAGCGTTTTTGCGATAGTGTTTACATTAGTTTTTCAAGTGTCAAAAATGGTTTACGTGTACAGCAATACGGGAGTTGATGAATATAGTTTTAATTTATGGTGAGGCAAAACATTTGTGTCATGGGGAAGCAAGACAACATTTGTGTTAGTTCGTAGAAAGTAGGTAAGACGGGCCCAACATGTGAATGGACAAAATTTTGAACAGTTGTTGTAACATCGAGTATATCAAATTATTTTATTAATTACAACTACAAATTAATTTTATTAATTAATAAGAATAGCGGCAAAAGCATTTGAATTTGTTGATATAAAATAGGTGTTATAAAATTTTATTTATTTATTCCCTTGGAAACAAAATTTTTTCAATTTTGTATCCGTTCATTTTCTATTACACTTTGCCGCAGTGCCAGTACCGTGCAGAAGTGTTTTTTAAAATCATTTTCGAACTGCATTTTTGATTTTTTTTTTACAAAATTGTATTTGTAAGAATCCCCTGTACATTCAAAATTTTTTTTTGGATAAGTTGGCGTTTCAGAAATTTACCAAGGAAAAATCGACAACTAGGACCGTATATTAAATGTCAATCCAGAGGCGTTTGTGATTTTTCGTGTTTTTATGCCTGTTGATTGTACAAGTTGCATAACAATATTTACCGGTATTTCTGTGATTTTCTACAAATTAATATTTGTTAATTGGACGAATATTTTAAGGTTATGTATCATTTGTTACTTTCTAATTTCTTGTAGATTTGTGTAAAAATTCCGAAACAATACGCATTTATTATTATTATTTATAACCTGAAAATGACGAAATAATGAATATTTTTATTTATTTACTAGACGATGAAGGAATCCAAGTACTAAGTTAAGGAGAAAATGCAATGTGTGGGCTAGAATAAGCAAAGGGCAAACTGGCTAATGTAATAAACCGATTTTAAGATCTCCTACATCCCTGCTGACATTATTATACACCTACAAAGGGGAGCTGAACAATGAACGTGAACGAAAAGCAATTCATGAAAAAATAAACCTAAATACCGGCGACGTCTAATATGTCACGTCTATCATTTCGATTCTTATGTATCGGTCCCAACCTCTTTACGACTGAAAGACAATTTCACGGATAAAAAGTTCCGATATTGCGGTTCCTTCAGAAATGAAAGGTTAACTGAAATAGGTTATAAATCCAGGTACCTTCCTGCAGCCATTTTTTTTCGCGGAATTCATGTTTATACCTTCCTTCATTACCAAGAAGATCGTGTAGGTGTAGGATGTGTATTGTGTACCACACCTACAACACGTATTTGTAGAATCAAATTTTGATTCTTGTTAAGCTTTGTTGATCTTTAAAAGTTGCCCAATAAGTCGCTGATATCAGATATTTGTATTTCAATTTAATTTCCTTGGAAAGCACTCAAGTACAGCTAATTATTGTTAGAACGGCAAAAACAAAATAAAACAAAAAAAAATTTAAAGAATAATGTAAAATACCATTAATATTAATGAAATTGCTCAAATGACTGGGTCTTGTTGAGAATAGGTGCGCAAAAACTGGAAAAGTAGATGAGGAAATTGTTTGGTGTATATATGGAGATGTCAATATCTGGGCAAGCCTCCCAATCTTTTCTAAATAAAAACTTCTAAGAAGATCAAAGAGATTCAAAAATCGAAATTTGGTCCTACATTTCGATGCATTTACATGACCCGCTATTGACGATACGAGGCGGAAATCAAGCAGCCGGACGTCAAAAATTGCTCGAACTGACACAAATATCAAATTTTCGTTAGCAGCGGCAACTTTTGTCGATAGACCGGGAAAAAAAGCCATTCCCGTCCCAAACAGTACACTAATGAGTCGAGGAAACCAAAGGGAACAGGCGAGGGAGAAGACGCTGAAGAAGAAAACCAAAAAAGTCAGCAACGATGAGAAAATACCCCTAGAAAAAAGAAAGACCAGAGACGCGGAAGCAATCCAGAAGAAGCAGAAAGACGGCGAACTGAAGAAAAGCGAGACGAAGACGGAGAAAAAGCTCATCAAAGTGAAGAAGAACTTTGAATAGATTGACATTTCTAATGTGAATATGATTTAAGGAAATGGAAAATAAATTTGATATTTGATTTCTTTCACCGACTTTTACTTAAACTAATTATAATTTTAGATCAAAAGATCGTAATCCTCACCATTGGTAGATTTGTACATCAATTCAGTAAAATTTTACCTTTGCTTAGTTAAACAGGTTCAGTGATAATAATAATTTAGTAAATGTAACATTTTTTGGAAACAACGCCATATGTCTCGAAAACAAGTAGATCATTTTTGTTACAAAACATTCTAGGAAGAGGATTATACTTTGTTATCGCTTCATGGAATGGAATTCTGCTATAAGAACTGCCATAAAATGTTCTAATTTAAAAAAAAACAACAGAACCTACATTAAAGTATATATACATACCTCTTGAATTACGTGTTGGATTGTGGTGCCCTCCGTAATAATCCATTTCGACAGAATATCCTGCTTCGATACTATCCACGCTCTGATTGTAAAAGGAACTCTCACAGCTCACCCATGCTTCTTGGCTGAAATAGAACGATAGAAAGATATAAAAAGAAATTAAATGAATAAGACGATTGCAAGTATTGAGCCCAATTTAAGCAAAGCGACACAAAAAAAAATTAAGTTCAAGTGATGGTCGAGGAGTGGTCGGGAGAAAATCGGCTAGACAAATACTTAAGGAGAATATTTTGTTGAGTATAGTACAAAGCAATACGGTATTGTTGCATGCTTGGTTTGAGATGTAATGTTAAAAAGAAAAATATGTAACAAAAGGGATCATTGTGTGAAAATTTTTGGTGATTTATAGAGGGTGTCCCGAAAGAAGCGCAGGATTTTCTATGAGAAAAAAAATATTTATTAAAAAGTTAGCAAAGTTTTTACATGTTTTTAAAGGGTAGACATCGCCATTAAATAAGAAGACTCATTTGGCAGACTCGACTTTTCTTAGGAAAATTCTGTATAAAATCACAAGTTGTTCGATTTTAATCGACTTACTTTGGCCTTGTACAGGGTGAGTCAACGCAGTGGCAAAGTTGATTTATCGCTAGAATATAATTGAGGTAAAATATTTCAAAATAGATTCGGGTAAGGGGGAGCAAGAAATGCACATTTTAAAAATAATTTGACTTATACAGGGTGATTCGTTTTCGGAGGGCTGACCAAAGTTGTATTTTTTAAATGGGACACCTCGCATTTGAGTGGATATTTATACAGGGTGTCTCGCATAAAAACCGGCGCAGGGCAGGTGCATGTAGGGGTGTCCAAAATATTGTAATTTAACCAAACTTACCTATATACAAAGTTGCACCCCTGAGGAGTTATTAGCCCCCAAAGTGGGGCCCTAAATTTCGAAAAAAATTAATGTCTCTGCAACACTTTATCGCAGAAGAACCAAATGTGGTACATGATTTAGGTTTATTACTGGTCTTCTTTGACTATGATTTAAAGTTAAATGAAGCACTACAAGGTGTTCATTGGGGATGACTCACCCCTAAAATTGTACCGAACTTTTTTTTTTCATTGACCGAATTGAAAAATAATAATATTAATTCACAGCAGAATTTAAAGTTATTAATTTTTTACATAAAAATATTGTTTTTTAAGAAAATTACCATTGTAAAAAATTATTTCTCGAAAAAATTTCTTTTTACAAAATTAATAGTTTATAACAAATTAATAATTAATTATTACAAAATGGACTGTGCCGTGGTTATTATTTTCATGCGCTACCCCAGATTAAAAAAACACGTTAAAATTGGTCTACAATTGCCGGAGAAATCGCAAAATTTTCGGGCAGTTAATGAATTGAAGTCTCGGAACGTTTCTGTCTTATTTCCCCCACCACATTTCAGGTGTAAAAATGTATTCGAGGACGTTTTTTAAAGGGTTAAAAATTACTATAAAATGCATTTTTTTTTCGATATTTTTAACCGTTATTATGAAGTTTAAAGGTTGATGGATTTATTTCCGAAATTTCAAGTCTTAATGTTTATAAATAAACAAGTTATGAATTTAAAAAAAAAACGCTATCTCGTCTAAAAATGGTCCTAGATCAATTTTTTTTAAAATTCGTGAAAAATTACCAGGATTACGAATATCAAAAATAATAAAAAATATTCATTATTCGCAAAGTTATTAACGAAAAACCTTATAAACAAATTCCACTATTTGTTTATACGCCCTTATTATAAGCTAAAAAACTCCATTTTTGGTAATTTTTACATTATAATCATTGTTTAAACAATGACCTTGTTGTTTTAAACCGATACTTTTTGGGAAATATTATATCTTTTTGCCTAAACTAACGATTAAACCAAGTTTCAATCTGAAACGAATTACCTTTTGATTTATTTGTATTACAAATTTCACTTACTGGGTTATAATTTGTAAAATATAAATATCAACTCAGATACAGGGTGTTCCATTTAAACGATTACAACTTTGGTCAGCTCTCCGAAAACGAATCACCCTGTATAAGTCAAATTATTTTTAAAATGTGCATTTCTTGACTCTACCAATAAATGAACTTTGCCACAACGTTCACTCACCCTGTATATCAACTGAGATAAGAAAAGCTGTAAATACCAGTTCGTAAACCTTGACCTATCGAGAAATTGTTATATTCATATTTTACTTCGCCCGGCAGAGTAGTGAACACGGCTAGAATTCCAGGAAATAAAATTTAAATCCAACTGAAATGCAATGCGTTTGAATATAAAGAAAATATTTCTTTCCTTATAGTCGGTTCAAGAACTATTTAGGTACAGGCATTCCGTTTTATACATAAAAGAAAATAGATCGGAAATTACATTTTGCTGTAGATCGTGGCAAAACTTGTGTGAACTTAAAATATATCTACCTCAGTGCTAGAAGTTATATTTAAAGCTGCGAATTCTAATTCAGACATAAAGATGGTTTATTATATCTTGAGATTTTTTTTATATTTAATCAGTTTTAAATTTATGTTAATAAGGATTTTCTGACTTGAACTTCTTCTAATTAAGAGAACAACGTTGAGAAGGATATGCAATAGGAAATACCCTTAAAAATTAAAGAAATATTGACAACTACACAGATCCGTTAATTTTTTTCCCAAAAGTGATCCTAATTTAACGTAAAACGATGTTATGTTTCCCCTCCTTATACAGTTAATCAATTTCATGAAGAGATCGATCGCCTGATAGTAAGGAAAGCGGCGCAATATATAAAGAACAACCTGTGGAACAAGTGAATAATGAAGGTAATTATTAGCAGATGTTCCTTTGCGTGTTTCTTGAAATACATTCTACGGATAAACATAATAGCCCAGTAAATGAAATTTGTAATACATGTAAATCAAAAGGTAATTCGTTTCAGATTGAAACTTGGTTTAATCGTTAGTTTAGGCAAAAAGAAATAATATTTCCCAAAAGGTATCGGTTTAAAACAACAAGATCATTGTTTAAATAATAGTCCTGTAGCCTGGGGGGTCTCAATTGCCTCCTTTATTTAGATGGAGTTACCCAAGGGTTTTTTTTATGTATTCTGAGCTGCAGAACACGAATTTTTTGGGTAAAAGTTTGCCCGGATGTCGATAAGTTTTTTTATTAACAAAAAACTTGCATAATACTGAGAATTTAGTTTTTGACCCATTTTAAGAAGAAAATATCTCTTGCAATTTTTTTGTTAAACGCATAGTTTTCGAGATAAACGCCGTTAAAAACTCGAAAAATGCAATTTTTGCGATTTTCAATTGTTAATAATTTTTGATTGAATAGGTATTTTGTAATTCCGATGACGGCGTTTGAAAGTTCACGTTAAATATTACAAATTATCAGTAAAATTGCAGTGTGAAAATTTGTTTTTTCCACTGTTATTTGAAGCTATAAACAAATAGCGATTGAGCGTTCAGAAGGGTGCGCCGCCATGTATGGAAGAGAGCGGTTGCCTTCTTACAGTATTTAACGTGAACTTTCAAACGCCGTCAGCAGAATTACAAAATACCTATTCAATAAATAATTATTAACAATTGAAAATTGCATTTTTCGAGTTTTTAACGGCGTTTATCTCGAAAACTATGCAAAAAATCGCAAGAGACATTTTCTTCTTAAAATGGGTCAAAGAACAACAACTTTTTATTTTGCCAAAAACTAAGTTCTCAGTATTTTGTTAATAAAAAACTTATCGACATCCGGGCAAACTTCTACCCAAAAAATTCGTGTTCTGCAGCTCAAAATACATAAAAAAACCCTTGGGTAACTCCATCTAAATGAAGGAGGCAGTTGGGATCCCCCTGGCTACAGGACTATAATGATTATAATGCAAAAATTACCAAAAATGGAGTTTTTAGCTGTATTAAAAAATGCTCTCAAACAGGAGCTTTTGCTTTTGTTTATACTTATAGGTTTTTCAAAAAACGCTTCATTTGAGACCTGCTAAATTAAAATCCATTAACAATTTGTTTAAATAATTGCAAAAACCAGCGAAATTTGAATTTGCTATAAATAGAAGAAAAGAGCTTAAATCGTCTCTAAACTGCAGTATAAGTTGTATTTTGTTACACTTGAGGAATGCTGAAAATTTCGTAAAGAAATATTTATTTGTTCACGAATTTTTGCATTTGTTTATTAGAAATAGCATTTTTTCAATTGCAAAAACGCGGTTGTTAGCGTTATAATAAAGGGCCTTATGAGGGCTCATTTGTTTCGTCTTGACTTATATTTTCAAGATATGCAATTGGAAATTGTAATTTCATATGCTAACCTCCTCAAAACGGCGTATAAACGAATAGTGTAATTTGTTTATAAGGTTTTTCGTTAATAACTTTGCGAATAATGAATATTTTTTAAAGCCGCTTTGATATTCGTAATCCTGGTAATTTTTCACGAGTTAAAAAAATTGTTCTAGGACCATTTTTAGCCGAGATAGCGTTTTTTTTTAAATTCATAACTTGTTTATTTATAAATATTAAGACTTGAAATTTCGGGAATAAATCAATCAACCCTTAAACTTCATAATAACGGTTAAAGATATTGAAAAAATGCATTTTATACTAATTTTTAACCCTTTAAAAAACGTCCTCGAATACATTTTTACACCTGGAATGTGGTGGGAGAACTAAAACAGAAACGTCCCGAGACTTCAAATCTTAAACGTCCCGAGACTTCAAACTTAACTGTCCGAAAATTTTGCGATAACTCCGGTAATTGTGGACCAATTTTAACGTTTTTTTTAATATGGGGCAATTATAATCATTGTTTAAACAATGATCTTGTTGTTTTAAACCGATACTTTTTGGGAAATATTATTTCTTTTTGCCTAAACCAATCTGAAACGAATTTTTGTACAATTTTTTTTTAATTTACTGGGCTATAAAGATACATTCGCGACATGTGAAAACACTGATTTAAGTATCGAAATATAGCAAGTCAAATTTTAGATACACGGGCTATAATGAGTGATGATTGCCATGATAAAAAATCATGGCAACCAGAAAAACTTATGAATTTTATAAATTTTTTTTTTCATTCTACTCTAAAAAATG